TCTCTGAATATCTTTGGGAGTAAATTCTGTAGATCATGGGGGCTACATCATCTGCGCCCTCAACAGGGATGCCTCTTGCATCCATGGTAAAGATTTATTCTAAGTGTGGAAAGTTACCTCCGGGTCTTTCCTTAAAAAGGCTTATTGGATTGAGTCACTATTGGAATAAATATACAAATGAAGATCCTACTCGTCAATGGCCAGACGACGGATCCTTTGAATTGGGAAAACTTCTAAATTGGGGGGAAAAAAAATTTTTTTTTGAGAGCTCTCACATAATTGTTTAATTGGTACCTAAGAAAAAAGGCCAAAAAAAAAGAAAGAGAAAAATTTGACTAGCCTTAAGACCTTGACTCAGGTTACAATTGAATTGAGAACATGTAAAAGTGTAAGTGTTGATAAGATTATAAAGGTTGGAATGTTTGAGCTAATTTTATATAAAGCGGTTACATCAACTTTGCCTGAATATGTTTTAAAATGTCTGACTGGGAATGCTTCCCTTGTCCAAAATTAGAAGACCAAGACCTATTGATAAAAGTCTTAATGATAACTATGTTTAAAGGCATAAGAGGTGATAAAATTTACATGAAATTTTGTAGGAAAAAACTGATGTTATTTCTATTACAGAACTGGTTAACAAAAATAGTAATTTAAATGATGGCTAATTTTATCTAATGTCTTATAAAGTCTTATAGACAATCTAAATAATTATTGGGAATAAGTAACTAGTTGTAAAAAAGATAAATGTTGGATAAACTTTAAACAATAATTATGTGTTATGGTGGTTACAGCTTCCAAACTCTTTTTAGTGACTTAAAACTTGAGAGTTTTGCTAAAATTTATGATAAAAATTCTCTGAGTATCATCATTTCCAAATAAGATAAGATATTAGACATTGCTAAACTTACGTTTGTCCACTTTTGGCTTTTCATTACAGGAAAACTAAAAGGTGTTTTGGGTCTATTGGTAAACATGTGTTTTATTAATTGTACTGTAAAATAACATATTTCTAGAAGTTATGAAGTGTTTATAAATTTTCCAAGCCACAAGATACTAATGTAAAAAAAAGTTTATAATGGTTTCCTTAGTTTTTACTTACAAATTAAGGTTTCTAAAGGTTAAAATTTCTAATTAATATATGTGATTGAAGCTACTAAAAAATAAAAAAAATATGTCTGTGTACAAAGAAAATAAGATGTATAAACATACAAAAAATAAAAATGTTTTGTTTGGTTGATTAAGAAAGATAAATTTGTCTTCAAGTACTAGGAGGGAAAAGAAAGACATGGGGCAAATTCTGAATATAAAAAAAAAGTTATAGGTTTGTAGAAGAAAAATTCTAGAAAAGGAGTTTTTACATGGTCAAGTTGGTTAAGATTAAAATAAATTTAATTAAGTAAATGAGTTTTAATAGCAAAAATAAGCTGGTACAAAATTATAGTTTGGTCTTATTTCTCTTAAAAGGATAATTTGCTTAAACTTGATAGATAAAGAGGTTATAAAAGATTTTTCTTTATCTTTAAATAAGTCTACCTAAAAAAAAACTGTTAAAATAATTTCCTGTGTTCAAAAGACTGAGGTCTCTCTATTAAGGCTTTTTAGACTGTTAATGCTCTGTTTGCTTTGACTTTTTATATTTTTGACAAGCTCCCCAAAATTCATATCTTAAATAAAGTCTCTTTTTTTACTTTTTTTCTTTGGAAATTTTCAAAGGGCCCTGAAACTTCTCAAAAAAATTTGCTCTCTTCCTATAAAGAGAAAGATACTAAACTTATTAGGCTTATTCAATATGTTAAACTACATGAGAAGCATTGTCAGACAAGCGATGATAAACCTTCTTAGGTGGTATTATGTGGGCAAATGTTATTGACATAGGTGTTTTAAAATTGTATAACATTACTAAAATTCTGATCTGTCCTGGTTATCAGTCATAATTCTGGTTATTATTATTTTAAAGTGTTGTATGTCACAAAATTAACCAAATTTCTTTGTCAATTGCCATTTTGAGGTCTTGTTGTTTACAGACTCATTTCTTTGCTCTAATGCTTTTGCAAAATATGTTTCAACTTCAGAAAAATTCATGAAAAAGACTCTGACATTTACACTGAAGTACAGGCTTCTGATAAACTTTCTGATCATAAAACTAAACTTGGTAAAAAATTACAAAAATCTGATAGAGAGACTGATCACTTCATAAAGCTGCTAACAAAAAGATTGGGATCAAAAATAGATTACACAGGACTGAATGAACTGATAAAGATGATTATAATTTTTATGATTTTTCATTTGAAGTATTGCTGAATTTTTAATGTTTTGTTTTTTTCAGATTTAAAGAAAACTTTTTCTCTTTTCTCCTGAGCTAGCTATGACTTATAACAATTTAGTAAATGATACTTTTGTAAGCAAAATTAAAATATTTCTCTTTTTCTCTCTACCTGATCCCTCCAGAATTTAAAAACTCTTAGTGAGTAAATATTGTTGTTTTCATAGCAATAGAGTTATTTACATAAGTTCAATAAAAATCTGTTCTCCTTATAACAGGACACAATTAGAAACACTGGTTATATTACCAAGGTTGTGACTAAAACATCATATTTGCAATATAACCATACAGCTTTTGAGAAATAAAGATTAGACTTTATAAAATAAAGCCACGTAGAAATATTGGCCCGGTACCTTACGTTCCAAGCAGCACTTACCAGGATAAGTAAAAAATGTCACTTATCTGGCAGGTACAAGGAACCTCGAAATATTTTGGAAGAACCTCGAAAGAAAAGAATTCACCCAAATCTGTAGATATTACAGGTGAAGTCTGATGACAAAATCCTTGGCTTGGCTTTCCTGGCCTGGAGAGGCCTTTAAAGTTAAATCTGAGATTCCTTATAAAAAGTTCCAACAAAGCAGATTTAAAAGAGCCTATGTGATCAATTGCTATTCTTGCTATACTTATGTAAATAATTGGGCCAACTCTATTAGAACTAGACTTATTTTGCAAACTAGTTAGTTTTAATTTGGCTATCTTTGATAAAAATGAGGGTGATTTTAGAGAAAAAAATTATATTTCAATAAAAACTATAGTATACATTTGCAGATATTGGATCCTAGTTTTGTTAATTGTCTTTTAAGGTTTTTGTTTTATATCTGTTGATTAGACTAGATCCTGATTTCTTCTAGTCTCCTGAAATATCTGGCTACAGATGTCCAAACTAACGTTTTTGATTTTTTCCATCATTTTCATTTAAAATCACTGAAAACCAAACCTGCCCTTTTTGCTAAAGCCTTACAAACTAAAGCTGATGGACTTGATATAAACTTAAGAGATGATGTGACGACACCATCAGAGACATTTTAAACTGCAAAAGATACTTTGACGCTGACATCTAAAAATCATCTTAACTGGCTGTCCTCTGACCTCAAAAACTGGTTTACAATTTGTTCCAACCATTAACCTTGTTTTTCTTTTGTTTACATAAAAATGCTTCTATTAAATACTTGATTGCTTGCTTCCATAATATAGGCATAACCTTGAGAGCCCACCTACATCACCACCTTCCAAAATGAACTTAATTGAACTGATCTATTATCAAGACTAAAAAATGTGTTCAGTAAGATAAAACAATCTACCAACTCAGCTTCTGTACTATGAAACTTCTTTAAGTTTCAAAAAGACTGTAAAACTTGTAGTTTCAAAGGCGGGACTGTGGGAGATCAAGATTTGGCCACCCTAAAATCTATCTCTTTACCTTAGTTGTTTTCTATAGGGACATTTGACCTCCCCCACTAACTGCCTAAAGAATTTGACATGGTGGCTCCTTCCTAGAACAGATCTATCATGATGGCTGTAAAGATAATGTAAGATAGAGGTTACAATAGAAAAGGCACCAACAAACCCCTCTTATCAAAAGTTCTGTCTCTCTGGCCACATTCTCTAGATGGCCCTTCGAGGAGTTGCCAGACAATCATTTACATTTATAAGGGAAATCTCCATTTGTAAAGGTATCTCCCTCTCTGTTTTGGGAAGGGGGGGGATGGCCTCATTTCTAGAGGCTTATCAATGTAAAAAGTGAGGCCTTAAATCTGCATAATAACCTTACTCTTGTTTACTGTGCTTTAGTGATAATCTCCTATAACTGACTCCCCCCACCCCCAACATCCTCCTTTGTCATTGGCTAAACATGGTATTTAAGACAAAAATTTCTGCTATTGTGTTAAAAAACACAGCGTCCCTGCTTTCTCCCATGTATACATATTATTAAACTTGGTATTATTTTCTCCAGCTAACCTGTCTTGTTGATTATTTGGCCAGCCATAAAATCCTTAAAAAAAAAGGGCAGGGGGAGATTCTCCCTCTTCCCCCGACAGGCCCCTCTGGACTCTGCTCTGTCACAGTTGTCACCACACTCAGTTGAACTGAATCCCTGTTGGCCCTCTCCCACCACCTCCCCCTCCCCCATCCCATCCCCCCACTCCCCACTGGAGCCTGGGAGCTCTAAGTTGCCATCAACATTTGATCTGTGGCTGGGTCTCTCTCGACTCAGTGGCACAGGAATTGATGAAAATGAGAGCTTGCTGAGAGGCCCACCTCTTGAAATCTACATGTTGACAAATATCCGGCCAGCCCACACCCACCTTGGCCTTGAAAGACAGACCTTCAGGCCTTGGTAACCCTCCAGGTCAGGGACCCACATCAGACCTGGGCTGGAGGCTTTGCCTACAGCTGGCTTTCAGGGAAGGAGGGAAGGTTGTGTGTAAGGCATTTCCCCATCACTGGATTGCGTAACATCTGCCCACAGCTCCTTATAAAGGTCACTGCACCCTCCAGCCACCAGCTCTGTTTGGCTCCCGGTGACCCGTCTCGGCATGGCGCTGCCCTGGGCCCTCGCCGTCTTGAGCCTCCTTCCTCTGCTGGACGCCCGGAGCCCAGTGTGTGCCAACTTCACAGCGGCGCCTCTCACCAATTCCACCCTGGACCGGGTGAGTGCTGGGCCGGTGGGCGGCTGCCTCCCTCTCTGGGCTTCCCTTTCCCCTGCTGGCTTGTGCTCAGCGTCCTCTCCTGACTCTGCCCTTTCTCTCCTGGTCCTGGGGTGAAATTCTGAGCAGCCTCCAGAGGCATTCCTCAGCCTCCAAACTCAGAAGCCTCGTTGCCAGGTCCCTCAGCAGGGACAGTTCTGTCCTGGGCAAGGAGTGGCCGCCCGGGGGTGGGGCCGGGAGACCCCTGATGCTCAGCGTGAGCTCCTGCCCGGCCCCTCCTCACCTGGGCCCCAGTCCCCTGTTTGCAACCTGAAGGAGAGATCTGCAGAGTCATGTCCCAGTGGGGCATCAGGGATCCTGCTCCCAGCCTCCATCACCTGCTCCTGGCTTCTCCCCAGCTCTCTGGCAAGTGGTTCTATATCGCAGGAGCCTCCCGCAACCCTGAGTTCAAGGAGGCAGCTAAGACCTTCCAGGCGGCCTTCTTTTACTTTGCCCTCAACCACACGGAGGACACAATAGAGCTCCGACAGTACTTGACCGTGTGAGACCCCCACACCCTCACCCCCATGCCCCGCTTCTGGCTTCTGCCCCTAGCTGCCAGGAGACCTTGAGCAAGTCCCTCCCCCGTCCTGGCCTTGGCCTTCCCATCCAGGGAATGGGGAGGGCTGACTCCAATCGCCCTTGACTCCTGCCTTGATGATTGTGACAGGTGATGGTCCACTTCTCCTTGACCCACTTGCTGCCTTTCTCCTCCTTCTGTTGGGCTTTAGTGGGAACCACTGTGTCTATGAATCCAGCATCTTGAACGTCCACCGGGAGAATAAGACCATATCCAAACGTGGTGAGGGCCAGCCCTCGGGCACACAGCTGCTGTGTGGAAGGGGGAGGACGTGGGTGGGCCAGCCTACAGTATGGGCGCTGGGGCTAAAGCCCTGGGGGCTTTGGGCACAGAGAATACGGGACAGGCCTGCTTCTTCTATGTCCATGATCCCAGCACCCGCACACTGCGATAATCACTAATACCGGCCACCAGTTTTGAGTTCTTACTTCGTGCCAGGCACTTTGAAACACATTATATGAATTAACCCACTTACTACTCACAAACAACCCAAGGAGGACGTTACAGGATCAGATGAGGAAACAGAAAAACAGAGATGTCAAGTAGTTTCCCTGAGGTCACACAGCTTGCAATGAGAACTTGGATTCAAACCCAAGCCTGGCTCATCCCGCCTCTCTCTCATCCACTCTTCATCCTCTGCGAGCTGAGGGTGGCAGCCTGTGTGTTGTGCAGGCAGTGACCTCACCCATGTCCCCACCAGCACTGCAGAGAGGGCACATAGTAGGAGCACACAAATGCCGATGGACTTGAACCAACAGCAGGTAGCAGCCCAAGGCTCCGCTCGGGCCTCACTTCCCTCATCTGTAAAACAGAGAGAAAGGCTCCTCTGATCCCACACGAGTGACGTGCTCCGTGCAGGCCTGGCAACACAGTAGGAGCTGGGACGCAGGCCCAAATGAGCCCCTGGCCTTCCCTGATCGGCTGTGTGGCCCTGGGCACACAAGTGTCCTCGCCTGTGTGATGGGAACCACGGTGCCATGCCCGTGGTCTCACCAGAGTCTTCCTCCTCCAGAAAAGGACAAGGAACGTGTTGTCAGCATGATCTTGACCACGGACCCCAAGATCTACATGCTGGCCCAAGACCCGGACGATGAGCAGAATGTGGCGCTGTCCCTCTATGGTAGCGACCCCTCCACCTCCCACCCCACCCAGAACTCACCCCTGGACCACCCGCTCCTGGGGCTTGACCCCAGAATCCCAGCCTTCCCCGGCCGCCCACACAGGCCTCCCAGCATCCTCACCCAGCCCCCTTGCTCACTCCTGCAGCTGACAAGCCGGAGGTGACCTCAGAGCAACTGAAGGTGTTGCATGAAGCCATTGAGTGCAAGGGCCTGGATAAGTCGGAAATCATCTACGCTGATGTGAAAAAGGTGAATGCACGGGGGCCGGGCAGTGCCCACCCCAAGGGTGGTCCCACCTTGCGCGGCCCCAGAGGCCCAGAGAGGGAAAGCTGCCAGTCTAGGCTGCACAGCGAGGCAGGATATCCTACTTTGAAGCACCCACCTCACCGCGGGGACAGCTGAGATTCCCAGAGGCCCACGGTGGTAGACGAGAGCCCAGGAGGAGAAGTTACTGGAAAGCAGGGAGGACGCCAGGGCAGGTGGGGGGACTGGAAAGACTGACAGCAGGTGACAGCAGCCCGAGGTGTGGCGGTGGGAACACGGGAAAGAGACACACGGGGCATTAGCATTTACAACTGCCTGCCGCACCCCAGGCTTCTAATCCGCACGAGGGGAGCTGGGGTGTGGTTCAGTGTCCCCCAGGCTGCACAGGGCCAGGAGCAGCGTCCCGATTGTTGCTCTGACTGAGAATTCCCTTGAGAGCATCTCCTGAATCCTTTCCCTAAACCTGCATAAATGAAAGCTTTACTTGGTCCTGTCTTAGGAGACAATATCTGAGATCCCAGAGTGGACGAGCTGGGTACACGTTTGTGGATGTACATGACACACTTCCATGATCATTCACATAAAACGTCTCCATCGGTTTGTCCCCTGAGGTCACCTCCTGTGACCACCAGTGGCACAAATCCTCCCTCACCCCCGGGAACCCTGGGAAAGGGCTGAGGAGCACAGGCACTGGGGTGGCTCCCCGGCCTGCTGCCTGCCCCCCATCTCCCGACTGGGGGACCTCGGGGACCACACGGCCGCCCTGAGCTCAGTGGCACCATCTGCAGATGGGGGTGAGGGATCCAGAGGGTCAGTGCGCGGGCTTGGCGGGTCATAAGGGCTCAGGAAACGCCAGCTCTTCTTAGGGGTGTGAGGCCCCTTTTTACAGGAAAACAAGCTGAGGTCCAGAGAGGGAAAGTGACGCGCCCAAGGTCACCCAGCTGGGAAGTGGCAGAGCCGGGCCGGAGCCACAGTCCACAGGTCACTCCATCTTCCCCCCGGGGACCCCCTGTCCTCCAGTCACTATGCTCTCCTCTCCCCGTCTTCCAGGATCAGTGTGGGCCGCTGGAGAAGCAGCACGAGGAGGAAAGGAAGAAGACAAATGAGGAGCCCCAGGAGGACGCGGAACAGGGTTAGGACCGTGGGGACGTTGGGGCACCCTCACCCTGCCCACCCTTGGTACCTCTGTTCTGTGCCTCAGGTGCACCAATAAAGCTTCTGCATTTGGGATGGGCAGTTGTCATTTACTCATTCATTCATTCACTCACTCACGTTGAAACCTGCCATGAGCTGAGCCCTGGCTCACCCCTGGATAAGACCCTGCCCCCGGTTGGAAGAGCGCCGCTGGACCCCCAGCACATGTGCCAGGAGAGACGACCACGTACACGGAGGGCTGTGGGAGCCCAGTACGGGGGTGGTTCCTTCTGTAGCGGGGATGTCTGGGCAGGCTGCCTGGAAGGGGCATCTGAACCAGTCCAGAAAGATCAGGAACTTGATACCGCCTGCTGTTCCCGCTGCAGGCCAAGGATCTGAGAGCACACGTTTGAGGGACATTGAGGCAGAGGACCCCAAGAAGGAGTTCAGGTGGAAAAGGGGCAGGGAGGACTCGGGCGTGTGGCACCAAGCACGAGGGACCCCACTGCAAGACACCACCATGGCCGTCTGGGGAGGCGAGCAGGGAGGGGCCGCACTGGAGGCAGGAACCCCAGGGGAGGCTGCTGTGAGCATCTTGGCAAGAGGCGGGGGCCTGGGCCAGGGCAGGGCGGACACAGGGAGACACGGGGGCTTGCGGCCTAGGCCCGAGGGGCCGTGTGTCTCCATGACGTGTCCTCAGGGGCCCACCTGACACCCAGAAGGAGGATGAGACACCTAGGGGCCGGGGTGGCCCCTGGACACCAGCCCCCGTGCACGTGTGTTTGGAGCCCTCGAGATGGGGCCACGCGTGAGGCAGGCCCACCGCGTGGCATCAAGAGAACTGAGGAGCACCCGAACAGGAGTCCAGCAGGGAAGGCCAGCCTCCTTCTAGACCTGAGGGCCTCCTGTTTACGGCCACGTGAGGGAACGGGCACCACTCAGGCGGCAGGAGAGCCGGGGCTGAATTTCTCAGGCAGTTTCGCCTGTGAGGGCCTAAGCCATCGAGAGGGACAGGACCCTCACCCCGCCCTGATGCCCGTCCTGGGCTCACTCGCCAACGCCCGCCAAAGAGTGGGCTCCACACACCCAAGACTGCAGCATCCTTTCTCGAAGCTGGAGTCACCGCTGTGCCCGGTGCCCCGCCTCGGGCTCCCCCTTCCCATCCTGACGTTCTCGGAACAGCCTCCTGGCCCCCAGAAGGGTGTGGACCAGAGGCTCAGAGCCTGGAAGGAATCTTCCCACCTCAGTGTCAGCTTCAGCAAGAGGCTGTTTTCAACCCGACTGAGAAGGCCCAGCTGAAGAATGACACAGAAATGGGTCCTGGTGGGCAGGGAGGGGCAAGTCAGCTGGGAGGTGGGGAAGATGGGAGAAAAAGTCAAGGGAAGAAGAAGGAAGAGTTGTGGAGAAAACAATCAAGGAAATTTAGGAAGAAAAAACAGTAACCAAGGATATGCACACGGAGGCAGACCATCGTGAGTGCGGGCAGAGAGCCCCCCGGAACCTCAGTCTCCTCATCAATACAATGAGGACACAGTGGGAGCCTGGAGGGTGGTGTGTGCACTGTGAGGGGATGCCACGCCGAGTACTCAGCTCCAGGATGGGCATCTGGTTGGTGCTCAGTGAATGGCAGCTGTGGGTGCTGTTTGCTACTAAAAGGAGCACTGGAGAGAGAGTCCAGGCTCGTGCTTTTGCAGACGCCAATCTGCCGTGTGTCTCAAACCATCTCTGGCTGCAATAAAAGGCACTTGCTGACACGGCCTCTCCTGGGCGGCCCCTCCAGTCAAAAGGTTCACGGTTCTGAGACAGGCAGAGGTAAAAGTGGGAGACACAGACGCCACCAGAGGGAGGCAGGCAGAGTCTGGAAATATGTCCCCAGCAGGTCCCCTGGGGGAGGCTTGGCGTCCAATCCTCCCCCCGACACTTGACTTTAGAGACACAAGTTGAGGACACACACCACAGACGGGGCGGCTTTGGGAACGTTTTCCTTTTTTGGCCTTCTTTTCATGTTTTGAGATCAATATTCATTGTTCTTCATTTACCCTCCTAACAAAAATAGATTTTCATACCTCTGATACACACATATCATCGCTGTACACACATTCCGGAAAAGCTGAGGTACGCGCTGCTACAGGGTGGGGGGCAGGAGATGGCCTGGGCTCGTGGCCACAGACCGGGTCCTGGCGGGTAGCCGGCCACTAGCCAGACTCCACAGGGATCCAGGGAGAGAGAGAGGTCTCAGATGAGCGACTGAGAGGGACGTGGGAGATGGCTTCCCGGGCCCACTGTGGGGGTTTCCATCCCAGCAGGCCCAGGGGAAAGCTCTCTCACCAGGGAGAAGCTGGGTGCATAGCACCCTGGGGGCGACATCCTAAGACGTCCTTATGGCCTCGACGTGCCCCACGGACTCCAGTCACCAGGAGAAAGGGCCCAGCCATGGCCTTCCCAGAGACGGCTCCTCCGGAGCGGCTGTCACAGGCGGTGGACAGGTTTGCTCCAGAGATCCTGGCCCTTCTTCTCTGGCCTCCTATGGAGGGTCCAAGACCAGGAACACTCCTCAGTTTAGAAAACTCTGTCTCTCCGTCTATAAAATCCATATTATTAGCTGGAGGTGGACACGCGCAGGATGAGGAGACCCCACAGGCTGCATCTGGACAGAAGGTGGCCTTGGTCCCTGCCCCTCCTCCAGGGGCTGTGCCCTGGGCAGCGACGTCTCCTGATGACCAGGCTGACGGCCCCTCTGGTTGGGAACACCGAGACGGAGCAGGCAGACCCTGGTCTGGAGGGGACCTCCTCTGAGGGTCCACAGGGCCTTCAGGAGGGCACAGACGACTCCTGGCTGGGCGACAGCAGCGGGTGGCCTGCCCCCTGCCTGCCCTCTGTCTCTCTGCCCCGAGGAAGGTCAGGAGAGGCAGAAGCCCCGCAGGCCGGGGGCCTGGGGCAGGTTGGCACACAGGGAGCGGCTCATCCGCCAGGTGGTGGCCGCAGGCTCTCGGCAGCCTGGACGGCTCGGCTCAGGGCCTGGTGCAGCTCTTCCAGGTCCCCCAGGTCCAGCCGGATGGAGGGCCGGTGACACCAGGTCGGCTGGGGGGAGACTGTAGGGGGCCCCTCGGGGGTGGGGTGGGCTGAGGTAGGTCCTGGAGACCCATAGAAGCTGAGGAGAGAGGGGACAGCCGTCATCAGCCCCGAGAGCGAGTGGAGCCAAGGACATGGGTTTTGAATCAGCCCGTTCTCAGCCCCAGCTGGGCCCCTGGCCCTGTTGCTCTGGGTCTCAGTTTCTTCACCTCTACAATGGGAATAACAAACGCCTACTTGGAGGGATGTGTTGGAAGGATGAAGGAAGATAACCAGGAGTGTCTGACACAGAACAGGTGCTCAAGAACGAGTAGTTCAGTCTACCCGTTCATTTAATATTCACTGACAATGTACACGGGCCAGCCGGTGTGCTCGGCCCTGGGGTTACAGTGGTGAATGGACAACACGGACCCCGCCCCTTCTTGGAGCTTCTAATCCGAGAGCCAGAGCTCAGGGAGACCAGGATCTCCCCAGGCTCCATACAAACACCCTTCATGGGAGACATAGTATATGGTAGTCCCATTGCCGAGTGTGGGGACTGGAGGAACGTGACAATAATAGTTAGGATTCTGCAGGACTGGTAGGTCTGGTCCCCTCCCCCAAGGAGCAGGTGGAGAGGTGCCCTTCCCAGCCTGGTCCTGCAGGAATGTGGGTGATGTGATAAAGCGCTGGGGACAATGGGCTGACGAGACATGAGATGCAGCTCAGATTTCTCCAGGAAGTGACTCCTGCATTCCTCCAAGCCATCAAGTGTAGGGTCAAGGAAACTGACAATGGGCAAGAAGAGGGGGTGGCCCCTGTGATGTGGACTAATGTGTAGGGGGAGGAAGGGGAGTGAAGAAGAGTTCGCCCAAATAAAGCAGGAATGAGGCCATGAGGACCTGGCTGGAGTCCTTCGGGGGCATCTTGCAGGGCCGACTGTAAACTCTGGTCTTACTCCCGAGCCTCCCCTCTCTACCCTGCGTTCTGTACAGTGAGACAGACAGGCTGTGCCAGGATCTGAACCAACGTCTGTCCAAAGAAGAGGCACAAATGGCCAACGACACGTGAAAAGATGCTCACCGTCATCAGCAGGACCCGGACAAGCTATTTCTTTCCAGGCTCTGTGTCCCCACTGAAGACAGCCGTATTCAGCTACCTCCCAGGGGAGATCCCACAGGAAATTCCAGGTAACAGCTCTGTGCGCGGCCTGGCCACGGTAAACACTCTGTGAGCGGCAGCTCCTAAGGCCCAGGTCAGAGAGCTGGGAGGGCAGGGCTAGAGTCACACCCAGAGCCCATTAGCTCCCAGTAGATGCTGATACGTGTCGTCTGGTCCAAATAAACGGGCTTCTCAATGCAATTCCCTCCCTCAGGGACGATCTGGTGTTAACTACTAGGTTCCCACACACCCCGACCTTCTGATAATTTGATGACCGGAATGGTCAGAAAGTTACACAAAACTCCCGCTAGGACAAAAGCTACAAAAAACAAAAACCCAAATAAACCCAAACAAAAAGCAAACAAAAAACCCTCCTGGCTAGAAAGCCTCAGGCGCCTGGGCTATACGGCGGCTGACCAGCAGGTGGCAGCACAGGCGCATTCATCCTTGTAAAGGACGCACCGGCCTCAGCCACTGGGCATGCTCAGTCCCGCGGACGGCGCTGGACAAACTTTAGGGCGCTGTCAGCCCCAATTCTAGCAGCGTCAGAAGCGCTATGGTTACTGGCCACCTTCTGTGTACAGTGGGCTCTCCATGCATTAGTTCATTTAAACCTGACCACAACCCATTTCACAGAGGAAAAAAATGAGGCCCAGATGAGCAACGGGACCCCCCCCCAAGGTTATAGGGCTCCCACTGGCCATCCGTCAGGCACTAAAGCCCAGGGCCGTTCCCCTTCCCCACGGCCCATCGAGACCTGGGGACAGGAACCTGGTTGGCTGTGTCCACAGGCCTGA